TGTCTTCTTGTGGGCTGACTCACGCCGCATGGAGCTGGATGAAGCGATAGCAGCCGGTGAAGTCACTTCAGCATTTTCACTTGTGTTTTTAGGAGACACGGTGGCCCTCCGAGCTTGAGCAGCTGCAAAGAACGACGCCTTGGCCAGGACAGTGTTGACACCCAAAGATCTCCGCCGTGATTTTAACATCCCGGCTGGAGTTGATGCTGAAGACGAACCGCTCTTCGACTTTGTGGGTGGAGAACCAGGGTGCCTTTTGTAGTGCCGTGTTTTAACCTGTGGATTCAGCAGGTCCGGCGAAACTGTGGTTTCCAAAGGCGTTTTATCTTTCCTTCTAACGAGTTCACGTGGTGGGGATGCCTTGGTGGGGATGCCTTCGTGAAACGACTCTCGTTTCATCGTCCTCGACGGCCCTGCCACACGGCCCTCGTAGATAGCAAGGTTGTTCGGACTTTCAGCTCTTCTGTTCAGCTCACACCCGCTAAGAGCCGCACAGTCAGGTGTTGCAGCCCTTGCTACAGGTACAGCATTTGGGCTTCCATATGGTGTGGCGCGTCCTCCTTCGTTCATTGGAAGTGGTGCTAGCTTTTCCTGGGTTTCAGCGTGGCTTACGCTGGCCACTGGTGATACATCTTGCTTGTTTGTGGCACCGACGTTTTTTTCTGAATATACTGCGAATTTCGCCAGTTCCGCATCTATCTTTCGTTCGTCGTGGTGGTGGCGAAACGGCGTTTCCGGTTGTATCACGTGATCTCACAAGGCGCAGCAATGAACTGAGTGCCCTGGACTTGTAGAAGGTGCCGGATTCAGGTACTAGCTGCGCGTGTAAAAAATGTCATTAACTCTTCAAATATGCATTAAAAATATGTAATGTATTAGAAAAAATGACTTCTCATGATAAAAGCGCTGTGACAACGACATTGCTTACCACGAGTAGTTTAAAAAAGCTTCATTTGTGCGGCTAACAATGCCTTTGCATATCAATCTCTGGCGTTTCGGTGTGAGGAAGCTTCCTAAAGCATCCGCAATTTGCGCGCCCGGCCCTGCGTAGCTCTACTTCTTTTCACACATCAGATGCAACGTTGTGGAGGCTAGCGAAACTTCTCGGACAGATGCGGCCGCATTAATAAACAGTTTATTGTTCTTACAATTCGAATATTTTTTTTTGTTTTTACGGCTACAAGCAATTTGGATTTCTTGTGAATCGTTGTGTCTGTTATTAGACGCTAATAGTTTGGCGTATACAGACTATATTCACGTAGTCCACAGTATATAAAGAAATATAAACTTGAAGAAAGAAAAGAGGACGAAAAAGCAGCTTGTGCCGCTTGCTGGGACCAAGTCAGCGACGTTCGAATAACGCGTCTATTGCGCTACCAAGTGACCTAATGTGGTGATCATTTCTCCGTTCACTTTAAAAGTGCAATTATTTCAATATCTTATATCTGACGCAAATGTCCTGAGCTGTAGAGCGTAAATGACAGAGCTGTAAATAATATCTGTAGCGCCAATTTGGAATTTTGACTTGCGTGAACTGCTTCTAACCTTATCCGGCGGTGAGCGAAACTTCACGGGAGGCTCTCCTTTGTTTTCATCGGAGCTGTCATAGCGCCAGTCGCTGGTCGAGGGGCTCATCTGTGCCTCAGTGGTCAGGATCAGATGCGTACCGAGGAGGTCAATCGACGAGTGCGTCACCTGCTGAGGTCACAATGGTAAAAATGTAACAGCAAGGCAGTGGGAACAACGTTCTTCAATGTGCTCAGATATCGTATCTCATTTCAAATGCCTTGTGGTGTTTTGCGAGCCAAACGTAAAACATTATTATGAGGCGCGCCTTAGCGGAGGCCTCCGGAATATTTTATCACAGGGCTTCTTCGCGTAAAAATAAGTTTATTGGTACACGAGGCGCAAAGGTTTGCCCTATATCGAAGCATGACCTCCATGGCCAGGATTGAACTCCTAGAGTATCATGTCAGTAGCCACGAATCGCTACCATTGTACTAACGTAGCGCACATAAGTCACAGTGGCAGTGCATTGCTCTTAGAAAACATGCAATCCTTCAGGGTAGAAGCGAACAGCAGATAAAACAAAAAATAAACAGAACTGACTTTATGAGGTTGTAGCTAGTTTTACGTGTATACGACATAATTGAAACAGCGAGCCTGTAAATGGCTGTAAGCGAATTCATTACAATGTCGCACCAGTAGTAATTGAATGAAAATTTGTAAAGAAGAGTTTTCTTGAGCCGCCATTTTGACCCAACCTACGGCGTCACACAGGCTTCTAAATTTTCTCAGTGGTAGACATTGTCATAGAATGGCGCAATCATTGTCTTTCCAGCTTAAAAGTTTAAACATCTTGCTGTTGTTGGTACTATGGGCATCTGGCTTCCTTTTCCTTGAGGCTTCATATTCTCTTTCCTGTTGCTGTTTAGTTGTAATTTAAGTAGAATCGACTGCTTCCGATGGCTTCAGATGGCATTTATGACAATCACCGCAAGTGTTCTCTTTTTTTCTTTTATAGCAAAAACAATTTCAAGTTAGCCTAAACGTATCACTTTTTTGGCCAAACTTCTTTGGCGATCCGTAATTATTTGGTCGTTTGTTTTTGCCTCTTCCATTGTATTTACAAACGCAGAAGGCAAGAGCTGATTGAGTCACACTGAGGTTTCTGGCAACTCTTAAAGTTGTCTTCTTAAACCAGGTCGTGATTCACCCAAGAGTGGAACTGCTTAAGGAAATGTCTATACGAGAGACCTAAACAGTCAGACGGACGATCACTTTTGGCGATTGTGCCATTCTTTAGATGCTCTATTCTAAAGCACACGGACAAAAAAGAAGACAGAAAACATACGTGCGGAACCTTGCAACTTGTTCTTGCTAACATTGCACATCATATTTATTCACACATGCAATAGTCAGAAGCACTTGAAAACTTGAAATGAATGAGGCTCAACGGTGGATTGACAAATACGGGTCAATTGTGGTGTAATAGACGTCTATCAAAGTGAAAACTTTGTTTTAAAGCACCATGGAAGGAGTAAAAGCTTCCGTTGCTCTGGTTGACAATTTTTGGTATAAAATAGGCCTCTACGATGCCGCGTCTTTTTTCAATTACTTACGGTGATTCGACAACTTGGTACCAATAAACATAAGTGTAAACTCCCATCATGAGCAATGTGCTGATCAATGGCCTCAAGATGGTGGCATATAAGGCGTGTACCTGTGTTGTCTTAATCCGATGTTTCAAGATCGTCCTGTTGGCTCAATATGTGACTTTGCGCACATGAGCGGAACTTAGAGAATTGAGTTATCTACACAATCAAATACCAGTAATAATACCGTATTCCTCATGGCCTCTTGGATTTAAAATGATCTGAGAACGCAACTATCACGTCATTCTTTACAGTTATTCGGTTGATGCCACGTGTAATTTTAAGTATGCAAGGTAACAAGGTAACCCTCTTCCTATTTTGATCAGTGTTTCTGGCTGCTGCTTTTCTTTCACTCTGTGATAGACACTGCCTAACGAAGCAGCCACTGCCTCTCCAGCTTGGAAAATTTACGCAGTTTTGCTGTTGTTACTATGGGGGCCTGACTTCATAGTAGAGGTGCTGAAGATTGAACTGGCTACAAAACGTTTCACTGATTTTGGTAGGCACCTTTTTTCACTTTTTGGCTTTACTCCTAACACATGTAGCCTGCATTGAATGTAAAGGAAATGCCTGAGAGCTTTAGGCTTCCCTTATCTGACATTTAAACAGTGAACTCCTACACTTGGTGCACGCTTTCAAACAGTATCTAGACGTTTTGATTCTTTTTTTCTCTGCTGAATAGCTGGAAAGCATGACACGAAAGTTGTCTTCTCAGCGTTTGTTGAATATCTGTGCAACAGTTAACTGCAATAAAATGTATAAAAGAGGTGCGGAATAAGGTATTTAAAAGGTGTTTGGATTGCGTAGACAGCATAGTTTGCAAAAGGCCCTCCTGGGTGAACAATCACATATAGGACACGATAAGACAATGCTTGAAGAATATATTAGGTGAAAGCTGATGCGCGACAGAAATGAAAAGTCTTCATGGCAGTTAGCAGCCCATCGTGCATTAAGTGGGTGTAAAATTATGTTAAGCGATACCAAGGTCCAGATTGTGTATATATATATATATATATATATAATATATATATAATATATATATATATATATATAATATATATATATATATATATATATATATATCTGTTAGATCATTAAAGCTTTCCTTCCGTGGCACTAAAATTCATATTTCAATTTAATAAACGCCCATTACATCAATTCAGACGTCTCCACGAATCATAATATAGCACAGTTCACCCTAATCTTTTCATATTTTTATCTGCCACTAATTCTTTCACGTGTGTATATAAATGGTATTTCTTATGTATTACAGATTGCCATAAAAAACGCATGAAAGTCACGCTCCTATCCTTCTTACATATGTTATATTTGTTGACGCGGAAAGGTTTGCCGCAAATGGATGATAAATGATGTGAAAAACAAACAAAAGTTCGTCAATGCACTTTTAAGTCACTGAGAGGAATGCAGTTGTTTGTACTTTCACGTTATAATGCATGATTATTTATGGCAAAGCCCCTTTTCGAAAACACAGAATTTCACACATTCTAGATATTCATCAATGTTTTTCAAGGGTGGCATCTCTCATGTGATCCCGCCCGGTTATTAGGAATTGCACAAACTCTAGTACTTCAAACCGGAGTTGCCCGAGATGGGGAAGTGACGTTGCTTGAACAACGGTGCACCACGGCGGTATCTTTTTGTAAAAATGTGGATGTCATCTCTTTTTTGGTGGCACTTTCGCCTGTGGTGTTTGGCAGTTACATCTTTGTTTTGAGATGTCGGCAAGAAAAAAAAACCAATGGCAATACCAACGTTTTTTTTTTCTTATATAGGACGCTTAAACCTCAGGGGCAGCCACTTCAACGCCACTTTTTTTTTTTGCAGGCTGACGGAATAGTTTCCTGCACATCTTTAAAGAAAAAGGCAAGGATTACACATCTCACCCAGACAATGAGCTGCCTACTTGTGTATTTCCGAATGCTTCCTGATCTTGACACGTCATTCCATTTCGGGGTGCTTTGATTCGAAATTGGAAACGTCTCTGTCATGGGCAGTTCCAGAGTGACATAGTAAAGCAACCGTGCTGGCTACGTAGCAAGCTACCTGTGGGTGCTTTTTGTTCTGATTTCCAATTTGAAATTCTACGAATATCCTATTCTAAACTACGACAATCATTGATGATTTCCGGATAATGTGTATTTCATAAATTACCATGTAGTACGACATCTAAAGCAAACAAGTGCTTTCATATTAATATTTAGGACTTACCTAACAAGTTTTGTTGAATTAGTCACGTTAAGGTAAATTTTAGCAGCGGATAAATGTTTCCGTCTTCACATAAACTTCATGCGCGATAACGTACGGTGATGAGCTTTTTTATGAAATATCTCAATTGTGTAAAAACAACACGCTGTATGACGCACGTGATTAGCGATAAAGAGTTGCAAGTTTGTGCACATACTTTTTTTTCCTTGGCGTTTCTGTGTAGCACAGAAAAAGAACAACCCCATACGAACTGGCATGTGCCCGATTTTTGTGCCTGTACATGTTGTAATCTGTCAGCGCTGTCGGTTGCTTTACCATAAACATACATCAACTGAACAAACTCGCGATTTCACTTTACCTCAGCTTCAGCGACTCCTTATTATTAGATTTGCTTATCGTTACATGACATATCGCGTGTCCTGTTACAAAAGCAAGAAGCTCCCATCGTGAATTCATGCAAAGCAATGTCGATGCCGTCTAGAGAAGATATCGTCGCAATCAGAAGAGGTACGAAGCTCGCCAACCAACACATCACTGTCGGTTTCCTCGTGGACATTCATGCGGTGTTTGGTTGGCTTTTGCGGATGTAACTATGGTGATCGCTTACAGAGTAGTGGGTTCAGTCTGGCTAATATGCATCTTTGCACGAGGAATAAACATGACATAAAGCACTAAAATAGGAAATTATGTTGCGTTATATTCTGTATACCTTCAATAATACAAAGTCAAATGGCAAAACAGTTACCTGCACCTATAGTTGCAGGATCGATAAGGAGTAGTCATTGAATGATGCTATATATAGAAATATAACCTTTATGATGGCCTGGCAAAGATAAATATAGCGACGGTATTCGTGCCAAACACGGCGTTGAAAGAGAAGCTTGGTGCCCGTACGTTGTCTCTGGGTGAGGGAGGTGGAGCAGCGCTGGCTGCAACTCGCTGCACCACAGGCGGCGGTGGTAGGTTGCGCGTGTCCAGTCCTTCAGCTGCAAGTCTCTGACGGTATTGCATCGCCTGTTCCCAGCTAACAGGAACCCACGTTGGTAGCGGCACTAAGCAATCTCGGAGGCTCTGGAATGATTCGTTAGATTGAGGTAATACAAATGAATTTTATTCACAGATGCACGTGATGATCTGTTCGTTCCTATGTACAGAGAAATTCGCCCTTAAATAAATTTTACTTCGGGTTTTGCATGAGCTGTATATACCGTAATTATGAGACGCAGGATGCATGACTGCGCTGAACAGAGCTACAGAATGAACGAACGACTCAGCGGGTTCAAAGCGCTAAAGACAAAAAAAAATATTTCACAACGGCACTTGTTTTGCCTTCACTTCAGTCACGATGCGGGAAATGAAAAGAACATAATAGACCGGTAGTTTCTGAGCCTATATGCTAAAATAAACCTCACTGAGACTTTTCAGGAATAATACAGTAATCACGATGCTGTTACGCTTTTCGCCCAATTACAAAGAAATGCCGAAACATCATTTCCATTTGTCCGTGAAAAGAGAGCACGTGTAATATACGATGAAACCCTACAAGTGGCCCGGACCCCTAATACGAACGACATGCAATGACGAAACGTGACAGGGTGCTTACATAAACTAAAGAATGATTTGCAAGGTGTTTCACGCGTGGTTAGTTACAGAAAGTAACTTTCACACGAAAACATTGCCGTTATGTGTGTTCTCGCTTACCAACTTCGTGTGGAATACGAAGACAAAAGCGTAGACAGGGATGAAGCTGAATTCCACCATTTGTACCCAAGCGATGAGCGCGGTAAGGAAGACAGGGTGTTGACGTTCCACAGTAATAGGACGGAATGCCTTTGCTGACAGCAACACCTGCAGCATGAATTCATGTCAGTTGGGACGACACAACCTTTGCAAGTGAATGCAAATGTTCTCATACACGTACGCACACACACTTATGCATGCACGCGCGCCCGCAAGCACATACACAGTAAAATTGAAGTTTAATTATACTACCAAGGTTTGGCTTTCCAGGCACTAAGCACTAATAATAGTTGAAAGTTAGGCCTCAGTTGGGTTTAATACCTACAGACTAATCTACTGGTAAGTTTGGTTAGCAAGGTTAAGCAAGGTAGGAAAAATGGTAGGAATTATTTTACGGAGAGTAGAGAAGAAAATTTCTAAAATTAAGGACAAGGCTCACCATAAGCGCCAGCGGTATTATCGATGTCCAGCACAACTTCACGAAGAATCCCGGCGTGCCACCTGTCATCAACTGGGAGTCAACCTCTAACCTCCTGGCACCTGCAGTATTACCTAATCAGTGATAATGCGTAGCTTCGGATCTCAAATTTTGAAGCAATTGAAGCAGTGTAACGTTGCTCTCAGTTTTATACTAAAGAACTATCACCGTACAGGAAGCATAACACAAATGAAAGCTATTCTTAATCCACTAGATACCAGTTTCTTTTTTATGAGTATTTTAAAAACAGATGCGTTTTTCAATCGTATTTGTGTCTGCATAGGTCACTGAAAATTTCATCGTGAACGAGGTTTTAGTTTACAAGATATAGCCTGTGACTGGTATGGTCACGCTCGGCTCTACAGTAAAAAATATCCGTGTTTTGACGTCGGAACCGACCATGAAAATGACAGACTGAGATATGTTTCTCAAAAAATTGCGGAAGTTCTTGCGCGGTGTTTTTAATAAACACCGAGAAGACTACAAATGAGCACTCTAAGTTTCCGTTCATGTGCTCATTTTGTAAAAGAGAAGAAAATACCGCCAAGCTGATGTGTTTTGTCACGTGGTGCGCTAGAATCCGAGAAGCCGGAAGCAACGCTTTTGTCGTTTTTGAACTCATCAGCGGTGGTGCAGTCGTGTGATAATTTGTGGTACGTGTTCGCGCGTAGCGATTTGTTAACCCATACATGCGATTGCATTTGAGCGCGGTGTGATGAAAGATGCCGTCCGCACGTTGTGTGTTAGCCAGGCATCTTCACGGAGAAAGCGGCTGTGTGTGGTAATGCAGAAAATAAATTTTCAAAGCCTAGAATAAACCGAGCTTGTTGTTTTCTTTTAATTACAGAAATCTTCTGGCACCGATTTATCAGCAAGATCTTCTGTGACCTGAGACATTTTTAGAATGTCGTGCACAACACCAAAAATATTAAACCTTAAACTATATTTCGGACCTTGACACAACACGAAAAATAAATTTAGAGATTCGTTGTGCATTCAATGGGAAATGGTGTGAAGCATTAGATGCCTATGCTGACTTCGTATTTACGGCACAGTTTGGTCACAATGCTATTGCCGTTCCCTTCATTCCACATGCATTTTTTGCTGTTATAGGCACACTTCTGAGGACTTACAAAGAGGGTTCAGCCTAAATTGAGGACGACGCTGTGAGCAATGGAAAGAAAATGGTAGGTGTAACCTTAAAAGACAAGAAGAGAGCAGAGTGAATTAGGGAACAAACGGGGGTCAAGGATATCATAGTTGAAATCAAGAAGCGGAAATGGACATGGGCCGCGCATGTAGCGCGTAGACAGGATAACCGCTGGTCATTAAGGGTAACAAACTAGATTCCCAGAGAAGACAAGCGGGTTAGGGGGAGACGGAAGGTTAGGTGGGCAGATGAAAGTAAGAAGTTTGTGGGTATAAATCGGCAGCAGCAAGCACAGGACCGAGTTGACTGACGGAACGAGGGAGGTCCTGCAGTGGACGGAGTCAGGCTGATGATGATTATGACGATGATGATGATGATGACAGTTATGAGGAAGTGGACAGTTTTCTCAATCCAAATGTGCACCAGAAAATGCACTTTCCATCGGTATCGACGTTGTTTAACGGCCAGTTTATTGTCGCTTGTTATCTCATTTAATATGGTAGCTTTGAGCGATTTACATCTGGAATTCAAATTGAGTGACGTTGGATCATGTACTGTGAATAAGCACCACACGTTGCTTATGGCTACCTCGCAAAGTAAATGCCACTCAATGTTTTTAATGAATGGCAATTCAGTAGTTTTTTTTCTTTATTGTTGCAATCCAGTAGATGCCCAAGTTAGCATCCACCTGGCCAGTACTCCCTCGAACCACTTATATCGGCATAGAAACCATCTTGTGGACGCAACTAAACACAAAGCAGAGGAAGAAAGAGACGAGCACACGCGCAAGGACAGGCTGTTTAGTTACGCCCCTAGGATGGTTTTTATGTCAAAGCACCAACTCGCCCAAAAGTCGATCGTGTAGCAGTTCTATCGGGTAACTGCAATAGAGCGAGGAACATTTGTCGTCAGCGAACTTGAAGGTAAATTTGCGTCAATGCCTTCATCTCCTACACCTGAGCAGTTAAGTGGATTGGTGCTCCCTCGCCTCATTCTTTATACTCTGCTTCAATTTCGTCTAAGTCCCACCCAACATTGCCACGGACGTCAGCAAGCAAAGGTTTGGCGTCTGCTATAGGCTTCCTATAAGGCTGTGTACCATGTAGGTACACAGAACGACGGGGGGGGGGGGGGGACTTTTCGGAGTCATCTACTTCGGCGTTCCGCATAATCTTATCGTGGTTTCGCGATGTTAAATTCAAAGAATTATCATACAATATACCTAAATTTCTCAAGAGACCACCGGAATCCTCTGCCTGCGATAACTTTGTCTATGTGGTAGCTTCCCATAGCTAGTAAAAGTAGATAGCCAATACATATTTCTTGTTCTCTTGGAGTATTGTATACTTATATCCCTTACAGTGCACCTGAAATATACAATATATTGGCCTATGAGTATGAGTGCCACAGAATCTCCTTGCAGGGAACGTAAAACGATCTAACGAACTTACGTAACTGACTTACATGCGCAACCTAAAAGCGTAGCGTGACCTTGGTAGCACGTAAAATAACACGCTTGTTCGCAAAAAAGACATTGCTTCATCAGTTTTGAAATTTCATTGGATATTTTACAGTGCAGGATATCTTTAGGACCATGTGCGCCACACTATTGAAAAATGATAATACAAAAATATCCGTTTACTTGAAGGTGCATTGCAGGCCAACACGGTGAAATTTAGAACCACTATTTGGCGCTCCTATTTAGGTACCTCCCCAATAAACATTCAGAACTTCGGGCATAAGTTATCTTTAAGGGATACCCTAAGCTATCGCGAAGAAAATTACTGGTATTCTGCAGAGGTTTTCTAAAGCTGCATAAATTAAATTGTTTAGTCAGGAAATGTGTGACCATATGGTAACGCTCATACTTTGTTAAAACATCCCTCTACTTGCCATTCGCCGGAATCAAGCTGGCATTTCACTTTTTTTTCATAAAATATAGCAAAGCACTCTCCATTCACTCTTCGTTCACTCACCACCATTCACGTCTGCTCGTAGGGAACATTGTCATAGAGTGAATGTCTCGTTTTCAAACACTGTCACGTGCACACACTCATTTCTCCCCAAAGTCTCAGTCGATCAGAATAATCTACCATCGTTTGTAGTTAGCATACGCAACCCCATTTTTTTCAGATATGTTCTTGGGAACGTGATCTCCAACTGCAAAATTCTGTTATTTCTTTCTGTTTCTTTTGTTTTATCCCTCTTAATTGTTTCGTGCTCTGATGTTGTGCCTTGTACTTTTTCCTAATAATATATTGTTTAAATGAGTGTCATCCTTTACTTTTTGTCTTAACTGTGCATTGATACCATACTTGATTTATTGATTATGTATTTTTTTGTTTCTTCCTTCTCTCTTCACAGTAGTTTCATGTTTAATACAATCATGTACCTACCCCTTTCCTCTATAGTGTACTGAATGTAGCTTGAGGACATTTCAAATAAATAATAAATAAATTGGTAATCTATCTCCCCTGTACCCTATATTGAGACCAACCACCAAATCACTGACCACGCGACAAAAGGATTTCTAATTTTCCTTCTATTAAGCCTCGTAAACAAAGTCTGTGTTGTAACGGTTCGGTGTGACACCAAAGATAACAAAATGATTTTTTGAGATAACATGTTAAACGCACCAACTGATATCCCACAGTAAGCAGGCACGCATTAGAAAAACACAACGAGGCAGGTGCTCCTGCCGTCATGTCTTATTCTTTGATTTCTGAAAGAGCTCTAGTAGTTTCGGTGAAAGATAAGTTTTGGTGCCGTATCAACGATATATCCACTAGATAGGCATACCCATGGGAATACTCTGAATGAGCCGAAATCTTCAGGTGACTATAGCAAGCCCCTCTTGCCAAGATACGAGGTAAGGGTCCTAGTCATAACATGGTGGGGGTAACACTATCACATCTGATGAATGCTCCAAAAAGGAAACCCGTTTTTTTTGTGCGTAAAACTTTTCAGTAAAAAAATTGCCATACGAGAGAGGTCATTTAGCGTTCTCCATCATGTATTGTTTGCATTTGAACACATTCATACTGAATTGTCACAGGACAGAGTGCACTCAAAATTCAAATATGAGATCCAAATGCCCATATTACAATCCAAATGTCGTACCGTACAGCTGTAGAAATACGATGAGCTCGAGCGCTAACAGGAAGAGGCGGAAGTTGTTTTGACTGCTGCATAAAACAGACACTCCCTTAGCTCCACCCTGCAGACAAAAGCAAGCGTAAATATTTCACTCTTGCTGGCGTTTCACAACAACGTCAAGAAATTATCGCAATAGTTGCTCAAAATTATGTTTTTGAAGTTTCCCGTTACTAAAAAGCATCTAGAGGCATTAGAGTGTCTTAGCCTTTGCCAGAAATACTGCATTCCAAGTACCCAATTCTTCCACAGTAACAATACACATTACGCAAATTTGAAAACAAATTTAACAACTCTCATTATCGGGCTATTTTCACGCTATGCGTTAATGTCACTGCCAAAACGCTGTTTCCTGTTTTGATGCCTAATCCAGGAAGACGTTTGTTTGACTTCTTGACTATTTATTCAACTGTTACGTTCGTATGTTCACTATGAATATGTGAGTGTGTGATTTCGCGTGTGTGTGTGTGTCTGTGTGTGTGTTTTGAGCCTTATATGTGTGGACAATAGTTATCTTTTTTATGTATATGGAAATTGGTCATTGTGAAAATTTTTGCTTTTTCACCTTTAAAAATAAATGTTAAGTAATGAAGTTCTGTAACAAAAATGAGGGCGTGTAAATGAATTTGAGGCTTTAGATCTTAAAGCAACACAGCACTAGATTACCTAACTTGTTTTAGGGCTCTTTTACAGCGCTGCATTGGGAGTTAAAAACACCATTTCCTGACTGCTTCGTATGACATCATTACACAAAGAGACATTGACAGGTTTAGATGACATCATTGACTGATTCTTAATGACAAAAAAGCCGTTGTACATCTAAGCTTATCACATAAAATTAAAAGTCAGGTGACACTTACAGGTATTACAGCAGGTATGCTCAAGCTGAACAGGACCAAGCAAATGAAGAAATGCGTTGACCTCCTTTTCACTACCATCGGTGGGTGAGATACGGACAACACTTCGATGATGATGTCGGGCACAATAAGCTGCGATATATTTATTGCGTAAGAGGCGCAAACATTCAGACATATTTTCAATATCTACAGTGACACCAAGTTCCTGTATGTGATTTCCACCAAATGCATAAATGTTGTTTGCTCCAATAAGATATGAAACTTAAATCGTACTTTCAAATCCACATTTCCAAAGGTAACTTACTTCAACTGAAAAATTACTGATGCAAAAAATTTTGGCAAGATGATCCTCGTCAGAATAACCAGGAAATAGAAATATCCACAGATTACCCTCCATGTGGCCAAATATACACTCATCGGCAGGTATTTTATTTTTCACTAGTTTTTCACATCTTTTTCGAGGTAGCAAAACAAAAAACAACCACGTTAAGCTGAAAGCAGAAACGTTCATCGCAGAAATATGTGCATTGTTCCTACGTCCACGATGCATTCAAACCTATGAAGATTGTTTTTTTTTTTTGGCCCCACCGCGGTGTTCTAGTGGCTAAGGTACTCGGCTGCTGATCCGCAGGTCGCGGGACCAAATCCCGGCTACGGCGGCTGCATTTCCGATGGAGGCGGAAATGTTGTAGGCCCGTGTGCTCAGATTTCGGTGCACGTTAAAGAACGCCAGGTGGTTGAAATTTCTGAAGCCCTCCACTAAGGCGTCTATCATAATCATATGGTGGTTTTAAGACGTTAAGCCCCCCTTATCAATCAATTTGTTTTTTTTATTTACCGAATAATTCTACGACTTCACGCTGTGTGCAGCCTACAGCAGTCAATGCTTAGAACCCCTCACATTGGACTACGACAAATGACTGTAATGCGTTTAGGATTATGAGAAACGCAGGCCTCCATTACTTACAAACTTCGGTAGCATCATGGATACCAGCCATAGGGAATGAATGCGACTCCAGAACTCAGGAAATGGCACGAGAGTCACAGTTTGGTGGGAGATGCTCACGATGAAGTTGAAGTCTGCAGAATGTGTGATGTCGCCCCTTGGCATTCAGTCCTTCTTGAGCATCGTTTGAATAATATCTGCTATACCTATCAGCGAGATACATGCCGTTTGCTTTCTTCACTTATTATCAACAAAAAATAACTGCTACCTTCACCCTACTATTATTTAGAAGGGGCGCAGCACGCGCGGTTTCAGAAGATTCCGTCGTACGTCAGCTTTCACCATCCAAAAATTAAAGCAGACAGCTGGACAGCAGTAACCGTCTAGCAAAATACCTGCACATTGTTGAGAACTAACACTAAGGCAGCAACCAAAGATAGTGTCAAGACCGTAAGAACTCATGTCGTAAGAAAGCTATTGTACTCTGCTGGAAAATACGCCTCATAAACAAGGATGTCAGCACACAAATACGAGAAGAACTTATATCAGAAATCCAAAATGGGGAGTCCTTGAAGCGAAAAGCTGCACTGTACAGCTTGAATGTACCGAATGCGTTCACATGGCAGGACCAACACATATATAGCGTGTATCGAAATATGCAATTTGAATGCAAATGAACATCTTCAATAATGCATACAAGCATACAGCGTTTATGAGCAAAATAAAAACCGAATGCCTTCAGTCATAGAAAATTCCAACATACATTGTTATTATCATAAACAGCGTTAATGACAGCATTAATAAAGCACTGATATGAACATGGCTGATGCTCAACGGTATACACTGTTGAAAAAACACTGAGCGCCAATAAATAGCACAAGCAAACAAAAAACGTGGAAACGGAACAACTGCTTCGTTTATTTTATGCCTTCATTCAAATATACCAAAGTACTCTCCAGTTGGTTTGCTCACCGAAGTGCTTCGCGTAATAATTATTTAGCAATGAAATTAGGCTATATATGAGCGCCTTTATGAGATTATTTGTGCACCTGTACGGCACAAACCACTTGTTTCAGCTTCAAGTGCACGAGTCACTTTTTTTCACGTTTCAGGTCGGGACGTATACTTCAAGAACTATTTGATACTTTAGGAACCAAAACACAATCAACACAGGCTTCAGTGATCGTTAAGAGTGGTCGCACATATTATATCATGTTTTTTTTTAACGTTGCATGGTTGGGTGAAAATAGGGTACATTTGCTGTTTGTCGAAGCGCGCGTATTCGAACTTGAAGAAGAGAGGGAGTATTGGCTCTCGTGGCAGTGACCCACATGAGCGCACAAAAGCTCCGATACGATTCAAACAAGGCATTATATTATCTGCAGTATTAATCTTTCTGGAAAGAAGAAATGCTGACATCGAGAAAGCTCACTGGCGGCAGATGACAACGACTTCTTGTTCTACATAATAGGCCAATCCATAATTTTTGAAAATGCGGCACCTAAATTGTTTTTGTTTCTTCAAAGTGTCAATGGGAGCACAATTCAATAATAGTTTTACATTAAAACAACGTTGCCTGAATCTAGCCTTGAATACTATGGTCATTGATTTATATCTGTTATTTGTTAGAGCATTCTTACAAGACCATGCTGACAGATTAGTAAGAATAATGCGAGATTTGTTAAACAATCACCAAGCTAATGACCAGAGACAAACTTGTAACGCCAGCGCACAGCGAAATGAATGCATCACTAACAAACTCAGTGATATCAATTACATGGATAATTAATGGGTATATGTAATCATAAGCTGTCTACCAGCCAAATAGTAGAAAAACAAACCTACGCCAGTCAGCCAACGCACCTTTGTGCACCAGCATGTGGATGTTGATGCCTGTAGCGTACGACAGGTGTCCCAAGAAGAGGAAGGAAGTGAACGTGCCGATGCCCTTGCTTGCCGTGTCCGCAACAAGTACAAATATCACGTCCCTGTTTTAAATTACGTATTTATTTCAGGCTAGGAGCACAATAAATGTTTGCGAACTGTTTAGGAATGTTGCTACAGAATGCTAAATATCCGTTTATACATGATGACCTACTGCAGCCATTAAACAATATTAGCCTGAATAGATGTTCTAACATGAACTAAAATCTCCAATTAGAGCAGTGAATGTCCCTCTGATAGTAGTTGTGCGTTGCTCTAATTGTAGATGGTACTTACAAACAAGTGCAACAAGAATTCGATTGCTGCTAAGGACACTCTAATGAAGTCAAAAACGCATCGTAAATAGTTTATATGGTTAAATATTACCACCAATAAATACCAAACTATTTGTAGCAGTGCTTAACCATTACCACATGGATGAAATCTGTCTCCAAATATTAGTGGACATGGTTTTGTGCCTGGAAATAAATAACGACCGATGATGTAGGCCCACTGCGAGCAAGTGATAAACCTTTTTTTTCTGCAATAATTTGTCTACTCTCAATCAATATGATAGAGCCCTGAATCACGTATAAGAGACACACGTGGCAGACGACTCCTTCAACCTACAGATGGCACTTATCGTATGCAGCTTCTGCTGGTCACTGGTGCTCTATTTTCACCTCCCTGCATGGCAGTCAAGTGAGCACGAAAACAATTTTCTTATACCTTCAGAGAAACAGGAGAAACGTCTTTATCCGTAATAATTAGTCATGCACTAAGTGAGGCACACAAACAACAATCATGTTTTATCCACCATGTCTGCTACAATATCAAGCACTGTTAGGAAAACACTGCATCGCAATGGTGGTGGTGGGTTACGATATGAATGAAAGACAGACCCGTGACACTTACAATATATATTTCGCGCTTTAGGTATTAGAATGTTAGTGGACTTCATTATAGTGGTTGCAGCTTCGCTTTTTATTAGTTTAGCCCATATTTCAAAATTATTCACAGGGTCACTTATGCATTCACCTAAGGCGGTTTGAAGGCGAAATGCTGCTTATTTTTCTGCTCAGTTGTTTTATTGATCTTGGTCAGGCACCCTCCGAAATCTTTTCACATTTAAGAAGGCTTTCGCCTTCTTTTAGAATCGCAGACATTGCAACCTGTCTGCATTTCATCTAATACAGCGCTCTATTCATGGTTTAAGTCAGGCCGTCATGTGATCAAGTCATCATAGTACTACTACACTTGATGACAATAAATTGTTTGGAAGCTATGACGGGATACGGGGAGTTGAACATGTGAGGATCTCTTCTTGCACCACTCGCATTAGCACTGACGAAGAACGCCAGTGAATATTAGCGATTGATGAAGCGGCTGAGACTTTCCCCATAATAATATCATAGCCTTTCTTTATCCTTGTTCTGTTTTATTATTAGCATTCTCTCTGCCACGAGACCATGCGAGAGAACTATATAACGTTTAAACATGAATAACTAATATTTTCTCAATGAGAGTGCATGAGTGCTACAAAATTTTGTGTCTTTATGTCTTAAGAGACTAAATTACTTCATCGGCAAAACATAAAACGAACACCTGAGTGAATTCATCAAGTGAGTTGTGAATGAGTGATGTGATGATCCCACATCGCGAGAAAATTGAAAGGGAACTCACTCTTGAAACGTGTTCTTGAAACAGTTAAATCGCTCGATGCCTAGATACATAGTCCCAGTGACTCCGACACTCTCCAGTGACACGTACAAGGCGTTCGACCACATCTGAAATTGAGAATTTATAGCTTAGAAGTCATTCTGAATGATTACACTTGAACAATGTTTACTTATTTCTACCTCCTGATAAACTGAAAGGCTAACACAGTTAGACTACTGTAAATGAAAAAAAAATATGGACATTCTGCAGTGCTTTTCTGATTAGTTTTCAGAGAGTAGCATTAGCTTGGGTAGGGTCCTGAACGTAGCACATTAAAACATATAGTACGTTCCTCCGTTACGTGCCACTTTATTTTGGCTATGATTCTACGTCTGATAGAAGATAGCACTGTTTTTCCAACGTTTGTAAATATTCTGGCCATTTCACTCGTTTTTGACATGGCATCACTGCATCACTTTTTGACCTGGATACTGCACTCATTTTTGACCTGGCACTTTGATCAGATCAGCGGGGTGGTAATTCTGAGCGCGAAGGTTAAAGTGAAGTTTGAAACACTCAATCAATGCGCATTTCCGTTCTCCATAACCTCGTCTAAGAGTACGTTACGTGTGATTAAAACGAAGCACATGAAATTAACGTGAGAAATGAATAAAAATATAGTACTCCCAGCCTTCTCTACAGAAGCCCTGTTCACGTTCGCTTTTTTATATGTTATTTGTTCATTTTACAATTTATGCATTTCTGCTTGTATTCTTTTTATTGGCTCACGTTTCTCCTCCACCATAAGACGGGTTTCCATCAAATCATTGACTACTGCCAGAGTCAGTGACGTGTGTGTCGATAAGCAAAGCTCACAACTTGCAGTTTCGTGGTGTATGGAGTTGCACGTTGACACTCATCTGATAAGTAATGCGTAAGGAAGCCACAAGAAGCGTACCACCAAATGAAGTGAGTGACAATCATAAAACTTCAAGGCTTTGGAAAAAGGCTGAAACGAAATCTGTCACATGTCTGACAGAAGAGACTACTTGCACACCACCCTGCTTGATAAGTGCCATGTCGAACTTGGCGACACACGAACGCGTTTTTCAGGGAAGACCATGGTATATAGATCTATACGGTTTATTCTGCTATCATTCATATTATACTCTGCTGATAACAAGAACACACAAATGTAACAACATTTGCCGTTCATGATCAATTGGAACACCAACAGCAATACTGGGAAACAGAAAGGGATTGCCCTCTCTCAAGTTCTGAAAGCCTGACAGAGCTGTAGACAAGCTCTAAGGTTACTACAATAAAGCCACTAAGTAGCGACTCCTTTCTTGCCCCTGTTCAGAATATATATATATATATATATATATATATATATATATATATATATATATATATATATATATATATATTTCTTGCTTTCTTGCTATTTCCTGCTCGCAGCTGGTTATTTTTTCACCCACTTTTCTTTACATTTTCTTTACATTACATTTGTTCTAATAACTTCCCCTATACAATCCTTGGCATTATTGTCTGTTAGATCTCATTATTATTGTGTCAAAACATGGAAAAACGAGCCCTTAGGTGTACACTTCTTTCCCTTATATATATATATATATATATATATATATATATATATATGTGACGTATGAACCGATGGTTGGTAGAGGGAGACAAGGAAGAAGTGAGAATAGAATAAAGATGGCGTATGAGCCGGGCCACGTCACCCATTCATCGTAGCATCACACAAGTCGACAGGATGAAGACCTCGCAACCACTTCATCGCCTGGCCATCATCATCGAAGACCTCAGCGAGACGCAGTGACCGAACGCGCACTACAGAAGAACGCGGACCACCAAGACCACCAAGCATCATGACAGAAGCATCAGATGACCTTCCCATTCCTAAGTACACCGGAGCAGCGGACGATGGACCCGTGCAGGACTGGTTCCACCTGTACGAGCTCCACGCTACCGCTGCATCTTGGTCGGAACGGGAGATGGTTACGAACTTCAGCGACTACGTCACCGGTGAGGCATTTAAGTTTTACCTGACACACATATTCGAAAACGACGAATCATGGCAAAAGATCAGAGAAGAGATGATTACCCGTTTTAACGACTATGACGAGGACTTCCTCATTACCGACCATCTGCACACAACAACACTCGGCCGTCACAATCCGCGCTCATTTCTCAAGGAACATAGCCTTCCACCACGTTTCTCTTCACGAAAGCCTGTGTTTTCAAAGTCGTCGCTCCAGCGAATGACACGAGACGTTGCTTACCCACCTAATCCACTTCATTCTTCGTCTCGAATACGTTGTCCACCACCCTGGTTTCAATCACGCGGTTCTTTAAGTGCTCCTGACGCTCACCGTTTGCCTCATGAGGACGCCGTGTTCACGATAGACGAGCTGACACACCGGGAAATTACCCTGTCAAGCCATGCTTACTCCGCACGGGTTCATGCATTGCCGTCCGGTGCATACACACTCGACAGTCGACGCAACACCGAAGTCTCAGACGCATCGAACGTCGCACAGTGCAATGTGCAAGAGCCTCTCGTAGTGAACAGGGTAGAAGAAGCTTCTGAGGAACTTTCTACCAACTCTGAAGCATTATCTTCATTGCCCGAACTGCATGACAACAGTTCACAGACTACCAGCTGCCGACTGGGCACCACTTCAAGTTGTCAAGGAAACCAGCGCGATGTTCAAGAAGGGATCCCACCACAATACGTTCCACAGCAGCACCACCAACGCGAGCAAAAGCAAGTCCAAGAATCACAGACACTCCAACGGATACACCGACAAGGACGACGACGCAAAGCAAGCCTCTTAAAGCAAATTCAAGACGTGAGGCATCTTCGCATATTGGATCGGCGCCAGAAACGCATTTGGCGCAACAGATCAAGACTGCGCCTGCGAAACCACAGAAAACGACGAAAGAGACGAGAAGGCACCATCTGTACAACGCAGAGACCAAGACATCATTCTGATGTCATCAGCTGCGACCGTCGCACACGCAAACTGGAAGCACACTGTCTGTTCCCGCCACGACACACAATTCGACGCCTTCAACATCCGAACTTCAAATGCTACAGGCACTACCACTCTTGTCCGTTCCTCACAAGAACTCAACCCATGTCACCACCAGTGCAGATCTCTAGGGTGTGGTTATGCCATCCAGAACGCAACAGTCAGCCTCGCCCACCAGAACTCTTGCATTAAACGGACTGCTGCACTCTCCACTGAAGTCTTTGAAAGTTTACGGAACTCCCCTGGAGCATAGAACCAATTGTGACTTTTGACATTCGTGACTTTTCAACCTCTCCTTGTTTAATTTTTCTTGTTCATATTTCATGCCTTCTTTCGGGGGAGGGGGAATCGTGTGACGTATGAACCGATGGTTGGTAGAGGGAGACAAGGAAGAAGTGAGAATAGAATAAAGATGGCGTATGAGCCGGGCCACGTCTGCCATTCCTCATAGCGTCACATATATATATATATATATATATATATATATATATATATATATATATATATATATATATATATATATATATATATATATATATGCGTGTCTTGTCTGTATCATTTTTTCATGTCATGAATTCAACCTATTTGCAATGCTATATACAATCAGTCAATGTTCGTTTCACACGGAGGCACCTTGCAAGACGATGTTTCTGAACTCTCTCTCATACACAGGGGATCCACATCGGATTAATAGATACCTCCAAGCTGGTAAGTGACGACCAGTTGGCATGAAAGAACAGTCGAAGGCCCCACGAAGCGCCGTTTAGTGTTGACGCTCGCGCCAAGAGCATTAAGGTGGTCACAATGTGCAGGAGAACAATGGCGTAGAAGAACTGCATAAGAGTGAAGGAACAGATACCAAGCAGTCACTTACCGCTAAGTGATCTCTTGAAGCCGCATAAAAATTGTAAGAACAACGTACTACTAAAAATCAACAACCTATTCATTAGCATTGCTGGTTCCCGAAACTCTCCTTTTTTTGCGTTTAAGTGAAAGTGGCGCCCGTGGTATAACATTGGTGCTGATGTCACGTAAGGCATGTAATGAGCTGCCCTTTGAAAGTGAGTGTAGCTAACGTTACTGGTGAAATAATGAAATACACACTGCTCAAATCACACAAAAATATCAAGCCGCCTTGTAAGACGCAATGCAAACTGTGGCATAAGCTGTTGCGCGCCCTTCGTTTTGCATTAGATCGATTCCCACAATGCGTGAAATCTCATAAGACTACCTTCATTTATGAATAATTGCTACGACTGCGTCATAAACCTGGCCCACTTTTCTCAAGTAAAACTCACAATTATTAAATGTCAGATCTGTTCGTTTAGGAAGTTACCAGCTTGCTATTTATTGTGGACTTTTTCTCGTATATATACCATTTTTTTCGACAAAAACGCACTTTTTTTTCTGGAACACAATTCAGTCGAATAAGTCACCTACCGCCTTGAGCTTCAGAAATCCTTTGTGCGTGATCGCGAACACCAGCAGCCAGATGACAGCGATAGCAAAGACTGGCTCTGCCCAAAAGGAGTCGATTGCACCTGGCTCCCAGATTGTCTGTCGGCGGCTGCATGCAGGGAACATGAATGAGACGACATGCCGCTTGATTATAATACCGCCTCATAAGTCGCACTATATAAGTATTGCTAACCACATAGATATTGTCACGTAGTCACGGCATTGACAACGCCAACAGTCTGAGTGTCAAAGAAGGAAGTTTTTTTTTTTTTACGAAAGTAGTGAAAACGAAACTAAGAGTCTGATTACAGCGATATACGCATGCACTGATACCAGTGAACAGAGAGTCGGTCATCGATATTGTTATCCAAAGCAAGGCACGTCGACAATTATACAGACTGAACTCAGCTCTTCATCTTTGCCTGCTCACGCCTAATAGATGATGCAAAAAAATCTAGAATGATCTCAGACATTATGGCGCAGTTTGTGTAAGAATGTGGTTTGCGCGGACAACCGTACACACCCTTTTCATAATGTGCACTATATATATATATATATGTTTCCTCTGTATGAAGTGACTTTCTGTACTTTATAATGACGCGGCCGTATTATTCGTGGTTTCCTTTGCCTGTTACAGTAGCGATCAAGTGTTCCTAAAAAATCTGTATTACAAGATGTACTAACAGTGTTTCAATTGTGTTGTTTATATATTCTCTAAATCTATAAAATTTTCCTTGATATACTCCTCGCTCTCAAAGCCAAAATACCGCAAAAAAGCAAAATACTACATTACTGCAAAGGATCTTTGACTTTTGTGAGCGGTACATGAATAAAAAGAACCATATGATAATCCACAAACAAAAACCCACCATTTCGGCATTTTATTTGTGTCCATTTATTTTCCCAGTATTTGAATTGACAGTTTATAGGGAGCATTCACAGTTTTTGTGAGCTATATTTGGAGAAAGAAGATGAATGTCCCTAAACAAATTTCTTCCAATGTACATGTAGCTTCATATATGTTTGACGTTCTTCTGCGGCTGTCAAGGCTTCCTTTTTTTTACAAGTGTTATGTGATACTGGTGCTCCCCCATAGATTAGGTGAAGAAGGCAACCCCCAAGTGAACATATTCTAACCTTGTAACATATAACATAACAATCCATCCTTGACCCGCATAAGCAGGTTCCTAATAGTGTGGATCGTGCCATACCTACATGTCGTTGTAATCAAGGCAAGCACCCAACACGTTGTACCTCGATGTTTGGAAAGCAGTTCCTCCCAGGGTCTGGGTCAGTCCGATATTTCAGGGTCTTGAGAATAAGTTCGTGCTCACGTTATTTTTACCTATGATCTGTATGAAATAGGTATTTTACTATTTCTGTTCCCCACATTTTTGCTCTGAGTGGACAGGCAGATCACTAGGATGTGTTATTTAAAATAATGCTAGGCCCTCGAACGTCTTCTGCCTCCTTTTACACGTGAATGTTAACCATGCAGATAATAAATCGTCAGTAATGGTAATTACTAAAGCAAACTTTTTATGAAGATTTCGTCAATTTTTCTAGACACAACGCGATAGGTCTCGATAGCGAGACTGTGGAAGCAACCAAGAACAGAACGATACTTTATGTAAAATGTACAGAAATAATTCCTGGTATAACGTCCTTTTCCAGGACGAAATAAGCGTGTAAAATCGACCACTCACAAGTGATATGGTGCTGCTGTGTCTGGCAAGTCCGGTATGCAACCTGTTGCTTCATCCTTGTACTGCTCCGAAGGAATCAGAATTACTTTGTTTCCGCTTGACACTGGAATGCCCTCACTCGTTGTGTCATGGCGAAAGGTATCAGTAAGATCATCTCTTGCCAGCTTACATGGGGCCTGCACGAAATTTAAGACTCGAAATCAGCGTTATTACCGTGAGATTGTGTAAAAGCACATTCAAAGTGCTAGCCTTAAGTACATCTCTGCGTGATCCCTTCAGTACACCACACTTGACAGAAGCGGTACAAACACCAACGTGTCTTACACCATGGTTACGATCGTGTTATGGAAGCACCATGCGACATCATATTATAGTCAAAAATGAGATAAACCTGTGACGTCGCGATGAGGACGTCTGGACGATGGCGTCATAAAAGTTACACCAATCCCCATTTAAGGGGAATCATGTGAGGATGCGAAGCAGCGCTGGTGTTCACTTCTGTTTGCCATTGTTGTTTCCATTTGTATGTTTCCATGCATGTTTCATTAGTGTAGAGTTGCGTGTACGTTGTTTACCCCTTATGTTGCCCGCTCCCCATTTCTGTGCGTTACCTAGTGTGTGCCACAAAGTGAACACCGAGTGCTGCTAGGAGAGTGCAAGGGAGTGAGAGCACCCAGCATTATGTACGAGCGCACCTCTGCGGAGGAGAGTTCCCTCCACCACAGCTGTGGCGTAGGTCCTCCTCCCGCCTTTTCGCGTTAGAGCGAGGAGAGGGTTTTCTACCTCCTCGCGTGAGCGTGACGAAAGGGGAAAGAGATGGCGCATGCACAGTGGAGGAGTGGACGGTCGCTGATGGGCGGACACAGCCCCGAGGTAAACTTGCTTCGAATCTGAAAATTCGGCAGTTGTCACGGTTCGTTGGAATCGGTTTCATGCGAAGCAGTCGGTGAGTAATTGTCTATGCTGAATGTATTGGCTTTGAACTATGCGTTACGGGTGGATCCACGTGCGTATGTAAGTCTGGTAGTTCTGTTTATATAGTGGTCTTGACAGTAACATGAACTACATTGGTGTTTAAAGGGTCACGTATGGTCTGACGTAACGTCAGCATTCACGTTACAGCAAGGATGTCTATATTATAGAAACGCAAAGCACTTTACATCGCGACAATGTGGATTTCATTTGTTTTATTCGTTTCAATAGGCGTGGTACATGAGGAAAAATTTGAGGCAGCTGAAATAAACAAGTAATAAAATCCGTTCAGTTTGAGCGGTACCTGAGATTACAATCTGGACCTCAACGCTCGGGGGCACAACGCGTCGCCGTGCTTGTGCGCCATACATACACTCTCTAGCCTACTGGCGGTGCGTAAATTATACGCACAATTTATAGTTGATAAGCACGTCTGGAATACACTTCAGCACAATAGCCTGAGCTATAACCGGACAGATCGTGCAAGGGGCCCAGATTGGCATGTTTGTTGGGCCGTATGCGCGTATATAGGGGCCGCAGGGCATCCATGCTTTGGCTTTCCTTGCGAATCGGTTATGGTGTGCATCGAGAAGGGAAGATAGGTTAGCAATGGGGAAGGCAATACGCGCACGTTCCGATTACGCTATATTGCAGTTTACTCTTGAAAGCGAAGCTGTAGCATCCTCCAAGTTTTGTTCGCGTTGCTGTTGCTGATGACCATCCGCCTTTATCCTTTCTCCTTGTGTGAGCACAAAGACCGAGCTCTCGGGTCCGCAAATTTGAAGCTCGTTACAGTTGGGTGAGAGCTTGATTTGGTTCGCAGACAAGATCTAAGAAACCACCTCGGCTACACTGGAATGCTACCACCGCACACGAATGCTGCGGTAGCGCTCCAATGTCGCCGTGGTCCTTGCCTCCGCCACAAGGATGCCTGCCACGTGAGCCATGAACCACGTGCACTTTTTTCCCTTCCAACTTTTCCTCGTTTTTATTGAATCTGGCAGCTAGTGATGATTGCAGTGGCTGCTTGCAACACACATGTATCCGTGCGCACACTGCCATCCCCGATGTCACACTAGCCAAGCCCGATTCAAAAGAATATTGTGGAACCTAGTGTCGTCCCTCAGCAAGCGACAACTCAACGCAGCATAGGTACCATGACTGAAGTCACAGGCATCCTCCTACAGTGGGTTTTGCCGTGGTTTATGATGATCACTCTAGTTCACTATACTGAAAACGATTGCCGCAAGGCAAGCGGCGTTCACGGCGCTGGTGTTCATGGCGCCTACGAGCGGTAACGTTCCTCACAATGCGGTGTATGGCAGTCACTGCATTGTGATGTAGATCACTGACCGTGACGTAGATCACAGACCCGAAAACTCGGTCTTTGTATGAAGCTGTGTGCTCACGCCACAGGAAGAAAGAATAAAGGCGCATGGTTATCGGCAGCAGCAACGCGAACAAAACTTGGAGGATTCTTCAGCTTCGCTTTCAAGAGTAAACTGCAATATAGCGTAATCGGAACGTGCTCGTATCACAAAGATATATACTATATAAAGGGTAGCCACTGGAGCCTATTTGCGGAACAGCAAGAAAGGGTACGACCACCCAATAGATGGCACACCCATCCTTGCTTTTACTCCCTGTTTAAGACATGTAATGGCCTCTTCAGGAGGACAATTGTTGCCCAACTTTGGCATCAATTTTTTGCAAGGAAGAAATTTTATTACCTTGTGCAATTTTATCTATCTGCTCTGCATCATGTCTCGCTGAGGACATATAATGCACCACAACATAAAACAAAAAGTATGACAGGAAAGTGTTGCCTTCCTGAATTTGTTTTGCACAAAGAGGCACATTAATGCGGTTTAGATGTGCTGTACAAGCGTTCCCTTCGCGGAAGCATGGGTGAGTAGCCTGATTGTAAAGACACTCGCTTTCGGAGCATGAGGATACGGGTTCAAATCCCAGCGTTGGAAAGAAAAAATTGGCAGATTCCACGTACAGTGGAAATAGATGATATGCGAAGCACGATTGAGAAATGTTTATATGTTCCTTTAGAGTCAAGAACGTTACGGAGTGGAGGTATATGATGCCGTACATGACTTCCGTGTCATGATTATCATGTCTGTATGTGTCGTTTACCTTCGTCATCTATTCACGTCACGTGATACCAAATTTAGTATACGTGGATCAAGCAAAACGGCCGCGAGCACGCTATGAGCGTGGTATGTTGTCATGTTCTTACATGACACGCGTGTTAGAATTATCATGTTTGCACCAGTTTATATTTATCATCCGTTGACGTCACGTAACACCGACTTTGGTATATGTGGAGCTAGCAAAACGACGGCGAGTGCATCATTCAGGGCCCATGCAATATACTCAGATGTAGCGTTGACGCGTGCGCAAGCTGGGCACAGCGACGCTACGTTTGCAAATACGAGCGCTTATAGTCTGATGCCAGGTGCGACCAGCGTGCGTCGGCGTGGCCCGACGGCAACCGGCGCGAAATGTGACTTGCTGCATTTCGCACCAATGCGTTACCCAGACAACACTGCGTCTACCTCTTTTCGTGACGGAGGGACAGCTGGACGCACTGAAACGCGCATGCGTCAAAGCAACGCAGTGCAGCGCGCGCCTGCGAATATATGGCAGGCCCGAGCGCCTTGTGTGGCAACGCCGGCTGACGCGACGATATGAACGCCGGCGAGCGCGCGCACCGCGTCATGTCGAAATGTAATGGCGCCTGGACTGTGGCATGTAGTCATGTTCTCACATGACACGCATCTCATGATTATCATGTTTGCACCAGTCACATACCTTCATCATTCATTGACGTCACGTATGCCCAAATTTGGCATATGTGAAGCTAGCGCAACTGGCCGCGAGTGCTTCATCAGTATGGCATGTAGTCATGTTGTTACATGACACGCATGTCCTGATTATTATGTTTAGACGCGTCATTTACCTATGTCGTTCGTTCGCGTCGCGTAAAACCGAGTTCGGTAGATGTGAAGCTAGCGAAACAGCCACGAGCGCATCGTGAGCGTAGCTTGTAATCATGTTGTTACACGACAGGCATCTCATGTTTATCATGTTTGCACCAGTATCATACCTTTGTCATCCATTCACGTCCCATAATTCCAAATTTGGTATAAGTGAAGCTAGCGAAACGGCCGCCAGCACATCATGAGCGTGGCACGTAGTCATGTTGTTACATGACACACATCTCATGATTATCATTTTTACACCAGTCACATACCTTCATCGTCCATTCACGTACCGCTAATACCAAATGTGGTATATGTGACGCTAGCGAAACAGCCACGAACGCATCATGAGCGTAGCATGTAGTCATGTTGTTACATGACACGCATGTCATATTTTCACGTTAGGGTTGGTCGCTTGCGTTCCGAATGCAATCGTGTAATACCATACCAGTTACGCAACATGCCATGTGAACGAAACTACCACAAGAGCTGCAGGAAATCATGACTTGGCATCCATGTCTTGATTGTCATGTTATGACTAGTGTAATATGTTCTTCATACAGTCATGTTAATACATACCAAGTTTGGTATCGATACCCTTATTGAAACGGCCAGGAGAGCTAAAGTCATACGCGGCTATATAGATAGATAGATAGATAGATAGATAGATAGATAGATAGATAGATAGATAGATAGATAGATAGATAGATAGATAGATAGATAGATAGATAGATAGATAGATAGATAGATAGATAGATAGATAGATAGATAGATAGATAGATAGATAGATACGCTCAAAGTCGCTGAAGTTCACAAAGAAAACCTTCGCATTAAAAAAATGTTTGTTCATTTATGCTGAAGACATTATCGGGTCTGACCAACCACTCGTGGCGCTGAAGGCAGCGCAGTAGCTGGGCCGGAGGGGCCTACAGGAGTGTCCGCTCTTTATGTAAGTATGTTTCTCTATGCTCGTATTGCCTTCCTAAATGCTAGTCTATCTTGCCTTCTCGATGCAAACCTTAACCGATTAACAAGAAAAGCCACAGCATAGACGCCTTGCGGCCCCTATATACACGCATACGGCCATACTAAACATGCCAATCTGGGCCCCTTGCCCGATCTCTCCGGTGATAGCTCAGGCTATCGTGCTGAAGCCTATTCGAGACGTTCTTATCAACTGTAAACTGTGCGTATAAATCACACACCGCCAGTAAGCTAGAGAGTGTATGTATGGCGCACAAGCACCGCAACGCGTTGTGCCCCCGAGCGGTGAGGTCAAGGTTGCAATCTCAGGAACCGCTCAAACTGAAGGATTTTATTACTTGTTTGTTTCAGCTGCCTCAAATTTTCTTTCACGCACCACGCCTGTTTTTTTTCGTTTAAAACCAACGACGAAGATGCCAACATCACAATTTCTAGCAAACAGGTTCTTTAACGCTATCGCCTTAGCTTTGACAGTGACATCGCGACAGTCAAAAGCGGATTATCGTGCTGGAAAACCGTTGAATTCAAAAAGAACGCCCTCGTCCTGGTCTTGATCACGCAGGGACAAACGTGTGCAGAGATGACCTGAATGGAACGCGAATGAATCTTCTGTGGTAATACTTCCCGTTTTCAGTGCTGTGGCAAAAAAAAGTATGATTTTGTTTCATCTTTTATCTGGTTACACTAAAAAACAGGCTCCAGGTAGCTATAATATGCGCACAATCTTATTTTTATCCAGATAAGTTCACTGATTGATTTAAACTGCAGCATGATAATTATGCAGCTGAGACAGCAATAACTTGCTAGGTCTAGTGTCCTAAAATCCCGATATCCCCACGATAAACGTTGTGGCCAAGGGCAGGGAAATTTTTTGACCTGCTAGGGTCCTTAACCAGCGCCTGCATCTAACTACAATGTCGTGAAGATTTCGCTTCCATTTAAACGTGGATGCTCGGGGCTTGATTCCATCGCGCGAACTTATGTTTAGCGGTCAAGTAAAATTAGCACCTCGGGGTATTGCATGGTATAGAACTTGTTATCATCACCATCTTTATTACTGTGACTACGCCCACAACATAACAGAGGGATCTCCTACCATCTGCCAATCAACCCGGTCTTATGCTTTCAGCTGCCACGTTACACCTGCGAACTTTTCAATCATATCGGCCCAGCTTACTTTTTATCTCCCCCTGGTTCAGTTGCCTTTTTTAGGAATCCAGTCAGTTACCCTATTACTCTGCCTATACTTTCTAGGTGCCTGGCCTATGTCCATATTTTCTTCCTAAACTCGCTATAGGTGCCATTTACCAATAGGTAAAAGACGACAACAAAACATAGCAAACATGTGCGACATTGCGATCTTCCAAAAAGGCAAAGCATATTAGTCGCCATTTTCGTGCACGGCAGAACTTTACCCACCGAACCAGGCCGAATGGCGTAGCAAGAGAAGTTTCGCGTCATCCACCCTCCGGGACAGTCGTGATGCCAGTCGAATGACTTCGTCAGGGACATCAGTAACGCCAGGGCGTCCGCCAGGGCCATTGTGTCGGCGACCACGTGGGACAAGACGTACGCAGTGAGTGCGTAGCCAATGCCTGAGTAATAAATAACCTTCTTCACTATCACATTCATCGCAATCAAGGACGTCATTTGCAGATGCTTGTAGGCAGCACTAAAAGCAATTGACAAGTACTTTCAAAGGCCGCACACATCTCGAGCTCAATCTCACCATAAAAATTTCTGTTGCCATCGTCTGCATTTTTGCTGGCTTGGCGCTTATTTGTTGGAAAAAATAGGCTACCAGTTGTCTGATAATTGTGTCAACAGTGCTCGAGCTGCACCGCTAATCAAGAACCGTGGGCACTCGATAAAAGCAGCGCTATTTAGCAGCCGTGCAACACCGCTGTTACTAGATTTGCGACAGGCCAACCCAGGGCGTTCCCCGAGCAGAGAATCCTTGTTAGGTGGACACAAAAAAAAGCGACACACATTTTCCCAAGGAAGCAACTTCAGTAAATGCGCCTGAGCATGGTGGGGGCATCGCGTAATTATTTCATAGTTAGGTATGGTTTGGGAATGCATATTATCCTGTCTTTATTGCTGTTATTTATTGAATCACCGAGAAAGGTTGCTTTTAACAAGTTGCGGTAAGCTCATGTTGGGTTGCGCCCCACTACTGTTTGAAAGTTCTTTCCTTCCATCACAGCTACTTGAGTCAAGCAAGGCGTCAAGTCAAGCAAACTTAATTCCGAACGCCTGATCCAATGCCCCTGGGTGGGCAGAAAATAGTTTCGCAGCGCGAGCAGTCGATTTTTGTACGCTGCCTGCGTCGGCCTTGCGAGGCGAGAGGGAGGGGGGTGACAATTGGCACGAGACGCGAGAGCAAACATGTGCAGTGGGGGTTTCGAGACCACCTCCGATGCCGGATGGCGAAGTGAATTCAATGGAGGGATCATCTCTGAAGGTTCGCAGGTATCACGATTCTAGAAACCTATTTCAACCGATCTCTTGAGTGACTGAAATATGAATGACAGTTGTGAAATATTGAGATACTATTGTAAAGTAATAATTAGCAGATCGTGACTACACGAAGAGAGTGTTGGGTACCTGCAAACGTGTTAGCGCGCACTGAGTGACTTTTCCGTCGGGCCACATGGGCGAATCGGTCAGTCGCTCCGCGGGGACTACTGGACCGCATGGGGCTTGTTTATGTTTGGCGTTGCGTAAGGTGTTGCCAGACTCGAGAAATCAGTGTTGCCAGACTGCCGCCAAAATTGGTAAATAAATTTGCTCCTGTAGTTGTAGCTTGTCCGTGAGGGTTTGGTGTCGTCCCCGATGAGTGCGTCCTCGTTGAGTCCATCAAGCTTTCGTCGTGCTGCACGGGTAGTTTTTGATTTGAGCCGATGCGAGAGACTGCCGACGCCTGTGCCGCTATGTTGAATCTGCGGCCGACTTGTTAAGTCACGTGGTTTGTTCTAGCGCAGGCAAGGCTGTGAAGCGGAAACGGCATCTGATTTCTCGTGGCGGGAAAATTGCGCTCAGAAAGATTTTCCTGCAACGGCCGTGTGGCGTGGTTTTCAGGCCGCTTCGGCAGCGAAATGAGCCAGTTTCTGGAGAGTTTTGCCGGTTTAGCTCTCTTCGAGGCCAATTGTGAGCGCGCCTTTTGTTGGCCATGCGAAAACTCCTGAAGGCCGCCTTCCACCTCGCCAAAGCAACGCCATCTTTAGAGTACGTTGCTTTGCGGTCCCATAGCCTGTGAGAAAGCGTGGTTGCATACCCGCATGCGGTGAAAGCTTTATTGGGAAACACCTTTAAGTAAGTAGCCTGTAGAAAGCACCCATTAAGGTACATCTGTTTGCAGTAGTCTGAGAATAAGGACCCGAATACCTCGTAGGTATGGGTTAATAGAGTGCGTAAGCTCTTTACATGCGGTAAAAATATTTCGTGATTTTTTTCTAATGTGACTGAGGCTAGACTAAAACACAACGTTATTACTGTTGATGGGTGATAATATTATGCAAGTACTATTTAGAGAAGTCAAATATTTATTCCTTGTGAAACACGGACCCCTAGAGAAACGTTCTCGGTCTGCATGAGCGTAGCCGACTTTTTCTTTGAGCGGCGGCAACGCACTATTGGTGGTGAATATTCAAACCAAATGATAAATTACAAGAATGAAAATAGTAATTTCTTGTCTACAAGCTAACCCTAGATATATAAAAGCTATCGCTCGAAAGCGTGCCGGAATTGTGTTTTCCTATTGAGAGTAGATCACGTGTGGACCATAAGAAGTTGTTCTTACCGAAGAACAGCGGAACTGTGCTGAAGATGCCCCTGTTCCCGTCTCCGACAAACTGGGCCAGGTTGCTCTCGAGGCGCATGACAGGAAACGCCACGAATAATAGGAAAGCAAAGCAGGCCAGCAGGAAAGGCACTGCACGAAAGTAAATGAGCATGGTGGTATCGAGACACCAACGCAAAATATATGTACAGTCTCGACCACGTCTCTGTAGAGTGCGCGAGCAGCCAGTTTTGGTCTGCGGGATGACACTTTAAAGTACTTTCGGGTTTTGACGTAGAGCCTGATTATTAGGTAGCGCGTGCTCCTGACACACTACGTCAGAACCCGAAACTGCCCGAAAGCGTCACCCCGGTAAGAAAAAAAAACACTGCAGGCTGCTCACATGGTCTGCACAAACATGGCCAAGGCTGTGCATCTATTAGAACCTGTTCAGCATTCGATTACTTGAATTGAAAAAAAAATAGACAAGGAAGGCAAATAGGAGTAAAAGAACGGCAGGGAGGTTAACCAGCCTATATGCAGCCGGTTTGCTACTCTGCGCATGGGAGGCGAATAGGGAAGATGAAAGATAGAGAAAAGAGAGGGAAGAGAGATAAACACAGCACATTCGGCAGCACACGCGTGCACACTCCTAGTTCAGTCTTGTCTTTCGTAGTATGTGACATTGCTGTTGCAGCCGCTTGTTCAAGTCCGTGTCGCGTAGGAATTTCAACAGAGCTTCTGTCGCCTTCTGTTGCAATGTCTTCTCTCGGGCACTTTACAGAATAGTAGTCTATTCAATGTCAGGGATCGTCAGTGGCAGTGTCTGAAGTGAGAGGTGCAACAAATGACGTTGATTGTAATATGTTACTGTAGAATTCAGAGATAAGCGCGGAAAAAAAAAATACGCGAGGCCAGCGCGGAAACGTGCGGCAAAAGTCACAGCTGAAAGCTGAAAGAGTGACCTCTCTAGAGCCTTTTGTATACAGTCTTGATATGACGACAATCCACGTCTAGCAGTGATTCAGCTGCCAAACACATGTATAGATTTAGCAAGCTCTTGTACATCAATGCACAATGGACAACTATACTGCTGCAAAAACATGCTAAACTACTGCGGTATTCCGACTCTTGTGACACAGGGGTCAGCCTTGTTTAGTTTTATTTCATCGCCAGCAACTATATTCAGATGCCATCATGCCAACTAGAATAATTGATTTGAGCTAGTCTAATCAGCCGAAGTTTGAAGACATTAGACCAAGTCCAACATAAGCATGTCTAGGCGGGCCTACTTCCTGCGTAACTTTGTTCGGTAGAGAAAAAATTGTTTTGAAACGTCCCAATGGTTTGTTTTTCACAATGTCTCACCTCCACCGTAAGCGATGACCATCATGGGAAACTGGGTTGCATTGGCACTCCCGGCTGTCATCGCAAACAGGGTGCCAAACTTGTGGGTCCAGCTTCGATAAGTGCCGCTCCCCCAACGTAGTTCTGGTGAGCCCTGCAAATGAAGGACGGTAATGTGTCTTGTATCGATGAAGGTGCGCCACTTGAAGACGCAACGGTGAAAGTTTTTATTTATTATAATGTATATAAGTCATAGATAAGGGCTTTGCAATGTGTACTGTAGTTGCGTAATGAAATGCAAATTTCACACATTTTATCTACAAATAGTTTGATGATACACCTAAAGTGGAACAACAACTACTTGCAAACTTCATCGGCTTCACTCTGCTTGCATCCTGTGAAGCCTACTAAAGCTTAAACAAAGCAAGGCAGGTTGACATTACAACCACAGCACGAAATTCAAAAGTTCAATTACGCTTTCTTGAAAGATGGAGATTAGGGCAACATCATGGTATACCATTTGCCAAGAACAGCGGAGAAATCGGGACAATTGAAACTTGGCGTCAGCGTGTTAGACACATTGCTATTCGGAAGTGTTCAGTAAGCGTTTGGTTTAATCAGCAGTATATGCTATCCCTAGAATGCTCTGTTCAGGCTGAATTGACCTTTTTCGCTATTCAAAAGTGTGCTTTTCCACACTACATACTTGCCCAAGTAATGGCGGCGCCTGTTGTACTTTATGAGAAAAGGCGGTGCGATCTAAACGTGTGGCGGCTTCTGTGTTTTGAGTGTTTATATCGAGAGAGCTCACTCTATATTTTTGACATCATTGCGCAAGCACACCACGCTTGAACAGGCTATTAGCAGTGAGCCACTACCTGTCATTACATGTTCAAATGGCTTAGCAGAAAAGCTAACTTTATTGTTTTGAAAAAAAAAGCCTATTGCCATAAAGTCTTTTTTGTTCGTACCGGATTTCGTAAACATCTAGAACAGCCCAAAAAAGAGCCATCAAATCATTCTAAAAGTGCTGGTTACGTACTTATTATTCTCAAAGTCGATGTTCGTCAGGTATTTACGATAATTATTTGGCCTTTGCAAGTTATTCTGCAAAGCACTGGCAATTAGTGCGCTAAAACAAAATATTTTGATGAGGCGCCCATATAAGTGCATTCCTTCTCAAATGTTTTAGTGTTGGTGGTACAACGCATCAAGTGCTAATTTCTCGTTGGGCACGCAGGGGTACCCGGTGTAGCAGTCAGCACACTCGTCATTAGAACGGGGGAACCCGGGTTTATACCTTAGAAGTGTAATGATATTTGATTTAGATTTAGTAAAGACAATAGTCTTTTTTAGAGACCTTCGCTGAAAAAATTTTGATCTGTCTGTCTGTCTGTCTGTCTGTGCATTTGTCTGTTTGTCTGCCATAAGGATATCTTGTATGGCACCAAACGGCCAACCCCATCCGCAGCACCCACCAATATTGGTCAAGAGTTAGCGTTCATAATTGTGCGCTTGGCAACTAAAAAGTGGCCTAATATATGCGTGTTATTTTGCAAATTTTGTCGAAAGACAACAGTATTGCGTGTGGAGAGAGTGAACAAAACCATTATGTGATGTTCTGCGCGAGAAAACTGGTGAATGATATTCTGGAGGCGTTGCGTAAAAGTGCCTCGAGCGTGCAGCGGAGGCGAATGAGCGCATCGTCACGTCACACGTGAGACATGATCACCATCTGGCAGTTTTCTTGAAAAGAAAGCGCGTGGCTCTGAGAGGGGTGTGCGCACCCGTCTCAGAGGTGATAAGGTGTAGAATGCAAGGCGACGCGTAGGTGTCACCACTGTCTCGTCTTAGCAAAGCGTTGGAAACACTGACCTTTTCATGCAAGCATTGCATGGTCAGCGCAGCGTGATAAGCGCTACGGTCCGTAAAATTACTTATGTATGCCTTTACTAGTAAAAGGCACACATGCAGAATATATACGCGTTTTTATAGTGCCCCAGACATGCGCAATGATTGCTTTTCAATTGACAATTGCACAAGTATGAACGATAAACCTTGAGCAGCATTGGTGGGTGCTACGGATAGGGTCGGCCGTTTCAAACACCCGGTGCCGTTAAGAGTAGAAAAACAGACAATTGTACAGACAGTTACACAGACAGACAGACCAAAACTTTTGCGTTGAAGGTCCCTAAGAAAGACTATCGTCTTTAAAAGCAATTATTGCGCATATCTGAGGCACCATAACAACACGTCGTTGTTTTGTATGTCTGCTTTATACTAGAAGAGGCACACACAAGTAACTCTAAGAACCGTAGCGCTTATTGCGCTGCGCTGACAGTGCAACGCTATGCTCAAAAAGTAACTGTTTCTATCGCTTTGCTACGACGACACGGTGGTGGCACCTGCCCGTCACTTTGAGTTCTACACCTTATCACCTCCGAGACAGGCGCGCATCTTTCTCCGAGGGCGCTCATGCCTTTGTTTTCGAAGATAACTGCCAGATGGCGCTCGTGTGTACGTGCCTCGATGTGCTCGTTCGCCTCCGCAACACGCTCGAAGCACTCTAACGCAGCGCCTCAAAAAATACCATTCTCCAATTTTCTAGCGCTGAACATCAAATAAACGTTTTCTTCACTCTCTCCAGACGAAAAACTATCGTGTTTCGACGATATTTGCAGTGTAACAGGGAGATTCGGGGCTATTTTTTTGTTTCTTGTTTTTCTATAATGTGCACCAGTTGTAGGTGGCAAACGTTTTTTTATGTAAACACATCACGCGGATTTTTAGCAGTGATGGGTTCACTGGAGAAGCTTCTTCATAGGGCAGCCACTACAACAATTGTTTGAAAACACGACGAGCACTGACTAGAAAATGAAAGTTTCTTAGTAAATGTAGCGTACGTTTTCTGATATCTAAATTTCTCATCCGCAATTCTGACCACATGTTCTGAAGATGCACATCATGAGGGAGAACATTTACGTGTACAAGTGGGTACTCGTTACGCGTCATCGTGATAGATAACCTCTTTATCATAAATAGATATGGAAAGTTTGGTGATGCATTTTCGTTTCACAAAGTTACTGACTCTTGTTTACACAAAAACAACGGGTATTGTCTAAAAGTGGCACAGATGCACAAGTGTGACTGCACATAGTTCTAAAATGGTAATTTTTTATAGAATTTAATTGATCTTTCAACATCACGTTAATGCGAAGACCCGTGTACCTTGGACAACTGCAAGGACAATAAAAAAAGACCCTTTATAGAACAGTTGTGCGAATATTCACATAGGTGAAATTCAATTTATGACACATTTGCAATATTTTCAGCTGCTTAACCTTACCACGATTTTTCAATGTTTTGTATTGTCCATTTTTGAAATTGCTCAGGATTCTGTACAGAATCTCATTTTCTTTCTCCATGATGTTTCAGCATTATGAAATCCTCTCGCTTAATGTAAATACATGATGACAATTCAACAACATACTTGTAATTGGGTTTATTAGTGAGCACTTCATGTGAACCAGAAGCATAAAAAACAATACTTCGGTAAATATGCAACGTTTAAAGATCGATAAATTTCTATAATTCTGTTTAATAGGACCTATCAGATTGTTTCTCTAAAGATTCAAGTTTGCCAATCTGAAAGCAGGCGTAGCAAAAAAGAAAACCTTATAACGCATGCCAGTTTTGGTGCTGGCTAACGTGAATCTCTGTAGGAACCACGAAATGGTGTTATAGCGTTAAAGGGGCCCTCTAACACTTTTCAACTCCCCATTTTTTACTCGTGGACTGCATAGACTGACGCACGGACAAATTAGTGCAGCAAGAACGGCAGCGATAGCGGCACATAGTACAAAGTTATTCAATTTAAAAGAAATCAATATACAAGAAAAAAATGCCTACCCTCAACTCGAATTTCGCTGGGCGACATGACCACATTTCACTCTCTGCTGTGACGTTGCAGGGGGTCCCCAATGACATGGGAAGAAAGCTCTTACGTAGAAGAAGCTCGTACACCATTGTTGCCTGTTCAGTTAAAAGTGTTTCTGACGCTGTTGCTATAGCAACAGGCAACAAGGTGCCTGACCACGCCGTTTTGTTTACGCAGTCTGACAGCTGGGTAAGGCTGGTAGAAATGAGCCTCCCCGACTTGTCAGAGCTCGAGCAGGTCCTTTTGCTTCGGAGCGAGGCTTACGCGTCCTGTGATAGGCTGCGCTCATCGTCGTCATTTCCGCCCGCGTAGTTCTAGCGAGCGCCACTGTGCACCGACGCAGGTCGGCAGCAATGAGCTGACTTTATTGCACAAATAAAATACTAAAGGTTATGATATCGGTAATTAGACCTATGCTAAAATTATCCTCGCCAATTGGTCTACGCAAAACACATACAAAAAATAGGCGCTTCAAAAATGTTGGAGGGCCCTTTTAATGAGGAAGCAGTGTATTCAACATTTTTATAATAGAATATTTGAGGCTTTGTACACTGCGATGTGTCAGTCGTGCAAAATTCAGCATCGAACATCACATTGTACAGCACCACAGAGCCCTGTCTCACCGTCATTATGAAGGCGCATTCTTTCTCTCCTGTTATGATAGAAATTTCTCACCTTGTTAGCACGATTCGCGTCAGCCATGGCATCAGGGAGAGCGTAATAAAGCAGCGCACACGTAAAAAGAAGCTGTCGCCAAGCCTGCTACCGTTCTTCTCAAAGGGTCACGCGCCCACGCGAGGTTCGCCTTCTTTCTTTTTTCTTCTCTTTTGATTATGCCCCTCTACTTTCAATTGTTGCCCGAAATTCGGGAGGAGGAAAACAGAAACCTAATTTTTCTTGAAGATCTACCAAAGTTTTCGGAAATAAATGATTAAGAAGCGCTGTACCCAATGAAAAAAAAAAGCATTGCGAAAACCACATTGATACAACACATACTTCTCTAGCATATCTATTACCGTAGACATTTCATTGACAGTGCCCAATAAAGGCGTACGTAAAAGCCATTTTTGTTAAGAAACGACTTATCAGAATTTGTTTAGGTCAGGTTCCTATATAATGCGCTTTTATTTGCACGGAGAAAAAAAATTGGCCCCAATCTACATGTTACACTGTAAATGTCGTCAACAGACGATAGTCTTGCGTTAAAGAGAGTGAACAAAACGTTTATTTGATGTTTGTGCAAGAAAAACAGTGAATGGTATTCTGAAGGTGCTGCGTTAGAGTGCCTCGAGCATGTAACAGAGGCGAACAAGAGCATCCAAGCCCGTTAGGCACGAGCGCCATCTGGCAGTTATCTTCGAAAAAAAGGCGTGGGCGACCGCAGAGAAAGATGCACGCCAGTCATGGAGGTGATAAGGTGTAGAATTCAAAGCGACGGGCATGTGCCACCACCGTGCCGTCGTAGCAAAGCGTTGGAAACGCCTTCTTGAGCATCGCGTTGCACTGCCAGCACGGTGCGTTAAACGCTACAGTCCTTAGAGTTACCTGTGTGCCTCTTCTAGTGTATAGGCAGACCTACAAAAAATACACATGTTATTATGGCGCCTCAGATATGCGCAATATTTTCTTCTTTAATTGAGAATCGTACAAGGATGAACGCTAAACCTTGAGCAATATTGGTGGGTGCTGCTGATGGGGTTGGCCGTTTGGTGCCCTTTGAAGTATCGTTAGGGCGGACAAACAGACATACATACAGACAGACAGACAGACAGACAGACAGACAGACAGACAGACAGACAGACAGACAGACAGACAGACAGACAGACAAACAGACAGGCCAGAAATTTTTCGTCGAAGGTCCCCAAGAAAGACTATCTTCATTAAATGTAATGACCAAGTGTAGAAAAATGATTAGTAGTGGCACCTAGAGTTACTGATAAGCCCGCTACGCGAGAGGAGTTGCGCGCAGGTCTGTCGTCTAGTGCGCTGACGCATCCACGTTAGGTAAGAAAGACATCGTTTTCGGATCTAGGACACAACGCTGCACAGCGACCAGCTTGCACGTATTACTATTTCATTCGGCGTTTTCATTTATCGCTGTTTCATTCGATGGTAGACACTTTCACCAGTGATAGTTTTCTTTAATATAAGATCGATAAAGCACGATGTATATTTTTTATTTGTATAAAAATTACTTCACAACATTTCACATTTAAATCGGTCGCTCGAGATAACCGACACAAACAAAAGAAGTGCTAAAAATAAGTTGTGTTTTTTTTATAAAAACGCGAGTGAAAAAGAATTTTATGCAAGCGGCGAGTAAGAAACACTGGGTATAGACTGTAGTATTGCGCAGTGGTCCGTCTCTATCATGCTGTTCTGCAAGATGTATAAAACGCTCTAATAGTGCCACGCCCTCAAGCGCAAATGTTTATTTCTTTTACTGGACTGATTTTCGTCGCCGGAATGCTGACCGCTGCAAATGGACGGGAGACATAATATGTATTAAATGCTATCGCCAACGCTTGTTATATAATTATTATATATCACATTCATATTTCCGGTTTACAATTAGACTGTGCATGACGTAGAGAAAGCTGCTGAATCCGGAACGCACTGTTGCATTTCAAAAAATAATGAGTCACATTGAACTGCTGCCACATTAAACCAGCAGAAATGTTTTCACACAGACTCAAAAAGATTGCGAAGGGCTATATTTGCCACTATCGTTCAAGAGGAAGGTATATAACAGTTAAATCTTGCCGGTACTTACCTACGAAGAAGAAATTTGTAGGCTTACGAACAGGGTTAAGCCTAAATTGAGGATGACGTAGTGAGCGATGGAAAGTAAAATGATGGGTGTAACCTTAAGAGACAAGAATTAAGAGAGCAGAGTGGATCAGGGAACAAACCAGAGTTGAGGATATCATAGTTGAAATGAAAAAAAAAAGGATTGGCATGGACCGGGCATGAAGCGCGTAGGCAGAGTAACCGCTGGTCGTTGGGGGTAAGTTACTGGATAACCATACAAAATAAGCGGACTGGGGAAGACAGAAAGTTAGGTGCGCAGAAGAGACTAGAAAGTTTCCGGGTATGATGTGGTGGAGCAAGCACAGGACCGAGTCGAATGGCGGCATATGGGAGAGGCTTTTGTTCTGGAGTAAACGTTATCAGGCTGATGATGATGACGACGTAAATATTATTTATTTCTGCTCGTGGTAAGGTTGGGAAAGCAAGTGATATTGTCACGATGAGTCACAAGTACTGGGGGATTTATTAAACCACCAGGTAGCTAGCACTAGGACGATGCGTCAGTCGTGGCTGGCTCTCGAGCAAAGAAGAACGCGATCTTCTTTTTTCCTCGAGATTTAGAGCCGCTCTTGCTGTCAACCCACTACGTGCTGGCGGCATTATCCCCCCTTCCGATAAAAAAAACAAGTACCAAAAAGAGGAAAGGAAAGTACATAGCAGCACCGCGATGCTACTACATAGGCACGTGAAAAAAAAATGGAAATTCGGATGAAGTGAAAGTAAAAATTGAAGAGCGTGCCAACATAGGAAACGTCAATGAACGAGAAAGTAAGTTCACAAAAATAAACAAAAAACACTAAGAACGCTGTACGGTAAAGGAAAAGTTACGAACAACGCGCAATAAATGGCTTCATGCGCAACACATGAACGACGTCCGGCCTCAGCCGTGTCCTGCTCCGTGCATGGGGTGTTGAGTCCGGAACCACTTCGTAGTTCACGTCACTGACGCGGCGTAACACTTTATATGGGCCAAAGTACCGGCTCAGCAACTTTTCACTAAGGCCACGGCGGCGGACGGGCGTCCACACCCAAACTTGATCTCCGGGGCTGTAAAACACTTCCCTGTGACGGGTATTATAGCGTCGTGCGTCTGCCTGCTGTCGCTGGCCGATGTGCAGTCGCGCGAGCTGCCGGGCTTCCTCGGCACGCTCTGCGAATTCTTCGGCGTCTGTTGCCAACTCGTCTTCGTCCTGACACGGTAGCATTGAGTCTAGCATGGTCTGCACTTCGCGGCCATAGAGAAGCCGAAATGGCGTGAATCGCGTGGTCTCTTGCACGGCGGTATTATACGCGAAGGTCACGTAAGGCAAGATCCGGTCCCATGTTTTGTGCTGTACGTCGATGTACATTGAGATCATGTCTGCGAGGGTCTTATTCAGTCGTTCAGTAAGTCCGTTGGTTTGCGGGTGGTACGCAGTTGTCCTTCGGTGTCTGGTGTTGCTCAGTTTGAAAACTTCGTCCGTAAGCTGCGCCGTGAATGCCGTCGCTCTGTCCGTTATTACACTGGAAGGAGCGCCGTGTCGTAACACGATGTGGCGCATGAAAAATTGTGCTACCTCAGAAGCCGTGGCTCGTGGGATCGCCTGGGTTTCAGCGTAGCATGTCAAATAGTCGCTCGCGACGATCACCCATTTGTTGCTGTCCGCAGACATAGGAAATGGCCCGAGAATGTCCATGCCGACTTGGTCGAACGGCGTGCAGGGTGCTTCAATGGGCTGAAGCAAACCAGCTGGCTTAACAGATGGTTGCTTTCGGCGCTGACATTCCCGACAGCTCTTTACGTACTTCTTTACGCTTGCTGAAAGTCCTGGCCAATAGTACCTCTCGCTCACTCTGGCAAGTGTCCTTGAGTAGCCCAGATGACCGGATGTGGGTTCGTCATGGCAAGCGAAGAGGACGTCGTCTCGCATGTCTCGAGGAACCACCAGGAGGTAAGCACGATTGTTCGAACGAGCGTTCTTCTTGTACAACACACCGTCTCGTAGGCAGAACGACGTCAACGAGCGGGATAAATGACGTGGTATGATTGCGCCCTGGCCCTCTAAATGATCAATGATTGGACGAATCTCTGCATCATCTCGCTGTCGTTTGCTCAAGTCTGATGCACTAACGGCGCCCAGAAAGCCTTCGTCTTCCTCTGCTTCCTGACTGACGACATGAAGGGGTGCGCGTGACAGTGTGTCAGCGTCTTCATGCTTACGGCCGGACTTATGGACGATGGTGACATCAAATTCCTGCAGCCGCAAACTCCACCGTGCTAGCCGACCTGAAGGGTCACGCAGGCTTGCCAACCAACAGAGCGCGTGATGGTCCGTCGCTATCTTGAAGGGACGACCATAGAGGTACGGGCGGAACTTGGTGATTGCCCACACGACTGCGAGGCACTCTTTCTCCGTAGTGGAATAATTCGCCTCGGCACGGGATAGAGCGCGGCTGGCGTAGGCTATCACTCTTTCGATGTCCTCTTGACGCTGAACGAGCACTGCACCGAGCCCAATGTTACTAGCGTCGGTATGGACCTCCGTGTCAGCATCATCGTCGAAATGAGCGAGAACGGGCGCTGATTGCATGCGCTGTCGCAGCTCATCAAAAGCTGCTTGTTGCTCGTTTTCCCAGACAAATGGCGTGTCGTCCCTTGTGAGACGAGTCAGAGGTTCTGCTATCTGTGAAAAGCCATGAATGAATCGGCGATAGTAGGCGCACAAACCAAGGAAGCGCCGGACGGCTTTCTTATCGACAGGAGCTGGTAATTCGGCAACAGCGGCAAGCTTGTCCGGATCGGGACGGATTCCTTCGGCGCTAACTACATGTCCAAGAAATTTTAGTTCTTTATAGCCGAAGTGGCACTTCTGTGGCTTTAGTGTGAGGTCCGCCGATCGGATAGCCTCCAA